GATTGCCAGGCCTTTCTTCCTAGTCTGTCTTAGTCTGGAAGCTCTGCTGAAACCTGTTCAGCATCATAGCGGCACACAAGCCTCCGCTGACAGATTGGTGGTAATTGCGCATGAGGTGCGTTGGCCAATAATTAAACCTGGGTCTCCTGCATGGAAGGCGAGAATTCTACCATAGAACCACTACTTTCCCCTTATCCCAGTTTACTGGCTGTTTAATGGCTGAGCTGGGATTCAAACCCAGGCTGTCTGGCTCTTCCTTCGTGTGGCTCTCTCCCGAGTGTATACCCATGCTGATTTAACCCCCAGTGGATGTCTGGTGGAAAAGCAAACCAATCCCTCCTTCCACCGTATCTCTGAAGATTCTAGGGGCTTATATTTGTCTTAGTCTTTGATTTCCCACTTCCGCTGAATTCTCCTCTTTTCTACATCTTGCCTTATCTTCAATCTGTGTTGACTCCAGCATGGTTTGTGGCCCCTTTCCTGCTAAGTCCCCCACCCCACCAAAGTGTCCCTGATTCAAGGCAGTGTAATTGCAGATCAAGGGGAGGGGGAGAGAGGCTATAGCTCTGCATAGCAAAACTATTTTTTTATATATTACAAAAGAAATATGTGCACATGGAAACAAAGGAGGGGAAGCAGAACTCAAAACAGTGATAAAATGAAAAAGAAAAAAATCTCCTTTTATCTACAATGAATCTCAGATCTTGTTTCTCTGAAATAATCCCTGTTAGTAATTTCAGATAGGACAGAAAATAAAAATTTAATATTAGGCATCCCTTTTCTTAAAAAAACAAAAAAACCCTTGGGTGTTCCCCGTCCCTGCCCTACTGCCTTGCTGGGCCTCCTTGCTCCCCACCTCTTTGTTCTCTACCACCTACCTCTGGACCCCCCTCACATTTTCATATGCAAAGCAACTGGGGTTCTCCATGTCTTCTCCTTCTAGATCGTGCCCTTTGACCTAACTTTTCGCAACCAAAATGTCCAAACAGATGTTTTGCTACACAAAAGACAATTTTCTCTCTACAGTTATTCTGCTTCCACCTCTTAAACCAACAATCTATCCCCACCCCCTCCTCCACTTTCCCCTGCCTTGCCCCATGCCCATAAATGAAGAAAACATGGTCCCAGCCCTAAAAGAGTTTACAGCTGGTCATGGGGACAGATGTGGTGAAATCATTCCAACGAAGTGTGGTAGGTACAAAAAAGGGGAATAAGTATAAGATTTGGTGGAGGCACAAAAGAGGAAGTGATTCACTGTGCTTTTTACTTGGACTAATAATAGTAATAATAATAATGAAGGGCTAATAATGGTTGAGCACTTTTTTTGTACCACACACTGTGATAAGCCTTTTCTATGCAAAGAATTTGGCAGAAGACCTCTCATATGACAAGTACTCAGTACATGCTAGCTGTTAAGATTTTCTCAATACCTTTTGAGATAGATACTACTTTTCATATTTCATAAATGAGAAAACTGAGCCAGAAAGGCTGTCACTTGCCCTAGTGGAGGCAGGAATACATCATAGGCTTGAATCCAAAGTTCATACTCTTAACTCATGCTCAGATGGGTCCTCCCTCACTCCATGTGGCTTTAACCCTCGGACCCCAGAATTTGTGCCAGCCTCAGGCCTAGAGCCTCAGTTGAACCCTCTGCCACACTACGCTACGGATAGTCCCTCAGCACCTTGCATTCTAAGAGATGGACAAGCTGGTTTGTGTCTACTAATATCAATTTGAATCATATGAAATTGCCAATCTTTGAACAGTTTAGACTTATGTAAATGGCAATTTCATAGGGTTTAATGCAATGCAAGGGACCAGATGAATTCTGGGTGAGCCTGCTCCTTTGCCTCTGTTCTTTTGTGAGAATCAGGACTTTCAGACAATTCCACCATCTTCCTGCCAGAGGATTCAGACTGAGAGATAGAAAAGAGACAGAGAGCACCTTGGAAATTGCTTTTCTTCCGGGGAGCCAGA